TTGCATTATGGGAGTTTAAACTACATCATACAGCAAGTTTGAGGAAGACGACAGAAGCTGTGACACTCAGAGTCGGTTTAGAGTTTGACACAGCAGCCAAAGTCGACACCTGAGACTCGAACCTTCAGACCGACCAATCACACGCTCGCTCATTAAATATTCAGACCTACGATTTAAACACTCGTCCATTTAAAGGCCGGAGCGCCTGACTCAACGCCGCTCCATTAAACACCCGAACCCGACAGACGGAGCAGACAGCGGAGCATCTGCTCAACGCTCTCCCTCACGCTGAAGGGGAGGCGCTCGCCGTTTGACCCCGGATGGGCCATCTTTAAGACTCCAGCAGCCGAGGGAGCGGCGTGACGCAGGATCAGGGTTCAGGACGTGGGGACAAAGTCAGGGTCCACCTGAGCGGAGAAGAGGTGGACGACCACAGGAGTGTGGAGAAATGTGGAGTCGGAGGTGTGGAAGTTCACGGCGGTAAAAACACCAAACTCGTCCCAAACTGAGAGGAGAGAGAGAGAGAGAGAGAGAGAGAGAGAGAGAGTTTGTGAAAGTACTGATGCTGATATATACTATGGGGGTTCATATCTATGCCACCAATCCAAGTTATTGTCTTTGAAGTATCTGTCAGATTCTGAATAATAAAGGAGGAAATGTTCTGAAGCCATGAAGAGAGAGAGAGAAGGGGGAGGGAAAAAGAGGAGAAGAAGCTGCGGAGAGGGGAGAGATGAAAGAGGGAAGAATGAAAAAACAAAGAGGAAGACGAGTTAGAGCGAGCGATAAAGAGAGACGAAACGGCTTCTGAGTGAGGACGACAGAAAGAGTGAAGTTTGACACGACAACAGCGAGACGACGCTAGACTGGAACTATTTTCATAACAGAAGTGGTTTTAACTTTCATCAGAGTTCTTCTTCTTCTTCTTCCTATTCTTCTTCTTCTTCCTATTCTTCTTCTTCTTCCTATTCTTCTTCTTCTTCTTCCTATTCTTCTTCTTCTTCCTATTCTTCTTCTTCTTCTTCTTCTTCTTCTTCTTCTTCTTCTTCTTCTTCTTCTTCTTCTTCTTCTTCTTCTTCTTCTTCTTCTTCTTCTTCTTCTTCTTCTTCTTCTTCTTCTTCTTCTTCTTCTTCTTCTTCTTCTTCTTCCTCTTCTTCTTCTTCTTCTTCTTCTTCTTCTTCTTCTTCTTCTTCTTCTTCTTCTTCTTCTTCTTCTTCTTCTTCTTCTTCTTCTTCTTCTTCTTCTTCTTCTTCTTCTTCTTCTTCTTCCTATTCTTCCTATTCTTCTTCTTCTTCTTCTTCTTCTTCTTCTTCTTCTTCTTCTTCTTCTTCTTCTTCTTCTTCTTCCTATTCTTCTTCTTCTTCTTCCTATTCTTCTTCTTCTTCTTCTTCTTCTTCTTCCTATTCTTCTTCTTCTTCCTATTCTTCTTCTTCTTCTTCTTCTTCTTCTTCTTCTTCCTCTTCTTCTTCTTCTTCTTCCTATTCTTCTTCTTCTTCTTCTTCTTCTTCTTCTTCCTATTCTTCTTCTTCTTCTTCTTCTTCTTCTTCTCCTTCTCCTCCTTCTTCTTCTTCTTCTTCTTCTTCTTCTCCTCCTTCTTCTTCTTCTTCTTCTTCTTCTTCCTATTCTTCTTCTTCTTCTTCTTCTTCTTCTTCTTCTCCTTCTCCTCCTTCTTCTTCTTCTTCTTCTTCTTCTTCTTCTCCTCCTTCTTCTTCTTCTTCTTCTTCTTCTTCTTCTTCCTATTCTTCCTATTCTTCTTCTTCTTCTTCTTCTTCTTCTTCTTCTTCCTATTCTTCCTATTCTTCTTCTTCTTCTTCTTCTTCCTATTCTTCTTCTTCTTCTTCTTCTTCTTCTTCTTCTTCTTCTTCTTCTTCTTCTTCTTCTTCTTCTTCTTCTTCTTCTTCTTCTTCTTCTTCTTCTTCTTCTTCTTCTTCTTCTTCTTCTTCTTCTTCTTCTTCTTCTTCTTCTTCTTCTTCCTATTCTTCTTCTTCTTCTTCTTCTTCTTCTTCTTCTTCTTCCTATTCTTCTTCTTCCTATTCTTCTTATTCTTCCTCTTCTTCTTCTTCTTCTTCTTCTTCCTATTCTTCTTCTTCCTATTCTTCTTCTTCTTCTTCTTCTTCTTCTTCTTCTTCTTCCTATTCTTCTTCTTCCTATTCTTCTTATTCTTCCTCTTCTTCTTCTTCTTCTTCTTCTTCCTATTCTTCTTCTTCCTATTCTTCTTCTTCTTCTTCTTCTTCTTCTTCTTCTTCTTCTTCTTCTTCTTCTTCTTCTTCTTCTTCTCCGTCTTCACTCCTCTGACTCTCTCTCTCCTCTTTAAAGGCTGCAGAGCGCTCCTGTCAGAATGTTCCCACACAGGCCAAAAAAGCTGCTGAAAGCCTTGTGATTTTGTCGAGTCCGCTGAGCATTGTGGGGCTTTAAGGGCAACATCAGAACCAGAACTTGTGAAGGAGGGGAGAAGGTAATTTAGGTCCGGCCTTCAGGGAGACAAATGCAAAGAGAGAGCGAGTTTCAGAGAGCAAGGGCGATCAATGCGAGGGGCTTACCGCGGAGGAACCGCCAAATAAGCTGTAACTCAGGACGGGTCTGTGTCGTCCCCGAGGTGGACTCAGTAATCCGTAATCTGACACCAACTCACACAGGACCCCCCCCCCCGCTCAAACACCGCCAGCTTTTAGTCGGTCGGATCAATACGGCGGTGCTGAGAGTCTGATCACACGTGTGAGGGCGCCGACGTTTGAGCTAATCCTGCCGAGGCGGAGGAAATCCTGAGGTAAGAAAGTGAGACGAACTTTTCTGATTCAGACGAAAACGTGAGAAAAACTTTGATATAAAAGTAACAGAGACGTTTAAACTCTTTTATGTCGTTGGTTATGTTAGTCTGGGACACCTGAAGAGTCGGACCCAAAATTTCACCACATCCGTCAATTCCTACCGGATCTGCTTGTGAGGCAAATGTCGTGATGGATTACAGACAGGAGGAGTCGTGAGAACTCACAAGAACCTGCAGATTCACGTTCAATCTCTCGATAACGAGTTGTCTCTCTAAAGACAGACACATAGACATATAAGCAGTAGATTGTGTCCTTCCAGAGGAGGAAATCTACTTCTAGACTTCTAGAATCAGCATCTCCTCATCCATGGTGTCATCGGGGTGAAATGACGTCTAAAAACCTTTCACTTAGACCTGATCCAGGTTGACTATGGTCTCAGGTTACAAACCGGTTAAAAACCATCAAACATGTACAGACCCGAGTGTTTCAACGACCATCCTTATATTCAGACGACTGTGGTTCCTGTTATCGGTCTGCAGGTGATCAGCTGATGGAGACAAACGAAGGTCAATGACCTCCACAGGATCTCACGATGATTACGACCATAAATGAGTTTCTGTTCAAAATCCTCTCAGACCGAAGTTTGAGTCGAATAAAAGTAAAATATCGATGAAGAGTCTGAGTCTGAGCGAACACCTTCAGGAGGAGCTGATGGAGCTGATGGCGCCGACATCAGCAGGAGGAGCTTCATATCTGTGTGTGTGTGAACCTCCACAGACGAGTGAATGGCGCCGACTGACGCTGAGTCACAGACGTGTCATGGCGGCGTTTATTTGAATGATTATGACTCAGAATCATAAATAAATGTTTTTGCATTAATCTGATTCTTAGACGCAGACGGCGCTCAGAGATGCTCCTCCATCTTAATCTGGGATTAAAAATAGTCCCAGCATTAATACGAATGTGACTCATGTCAGCTGACTCAGCGGCCCGGCGTCACGCTGAAACTTACACTAAAGTACCAACGGTCTGACGCTGACCAAAGTGGCGTGGGGTCTTCCAGCTCCATCAGCTGTTGGCGGTGACGGACAAACGCCGTCCTCAGTGGTTGAGTTTTTTTTCTTTAAGGACTCGTTTGACGGTTAAACGTCAACACGAAAGGTTCGCCACGTTTTGGTACCAAAGCAGCAGGTCGTCCTCACACAGAGAGGAGCGCCATGGCGGTCGATATAACCGCCTGACCTTTCCTCATCCTCTCAAACTGAAGTCTTATTTCTTTGACACCATAAATGCGGTTCTAGACGGTGAACGCTCTTCCACGGTTAAACCCGTCTCCTCTCTGCTGGCTGACCTTTGACCCTGCCTTTTAGGTTTGGCATTTGGGACGGCGAGCCGCTCATCAGACGTGCGATCACACGGGTCAGCACTTCGCCTTATTGTCATTTCTCTGACTTCTCGCCGGACGCCTTTTACATCGGGGTGCAGCGCTCGGCGTCGGGTCGTCTACATAACGAGTGACACACACACACACACACACACACATACGAGTAAAACAGATTTTTAACAACAGCAGAGCTCCTGCACGGACACTTTTCATGAAAGCTAAAGTTTTAAAACTAAATATGTAGAAAAGTGTAAAAGCAGAGCCGAACAAGAGTGAAGGAGAGGAGTGAAAGATCTCACGGCGAATAAATCAGACGAACAGACGCTCACAGCTAATGTCCTCAGATATATACTTTAACATGACACAAGTATTATTGGGTATAAAAGGTTACTGCACGCCACATAGGATTACAGCTGAATGAGAGAGAGAGAGAGAGAGAGAGAGAGGGAGAGAGAGAGAGAGAGAGAGAGAGGAAGAGAGAGAGAGAGAGAGAGAGAGAGAGAGAGAGAGAGAGAGAGAGAGAGAGAGAGAGAGAGAGAGAGAGAGAGAGAGTTTAATAAGAAGTGAGAAACTGTAAAGGTGTCAGAGAGAGTGACTGAAACTCTCTTCAGTCTTTAAACCTGTTACAACAGTGTGAATGTCGGTCAGTGAAACTCACACCAATCAATCTGTGTAAACAGACAGAGTGTGTGTGTGTGTGTGTGAGTGTGTGTGTGTGTGTGTGTGTGTGAGTGTGTGTGTGTGAGTCAGACTGCTAAAGCTAACAGACTTCTCATGATATGACTAAACAGACACAGTCACACAAAAACACCGATCAGCTGTTTGTCACTGGAGTTTGTAGTGAAGTCGTGTGAATCAGAATAAAATACTAAAAACCAAACAGAATAAAAATGATTAAATATAAAATAACATTAAAGGGACAAACCTCACAGGTTAAATTTACCACATTTACTCTAATAGAAGGGCATCCAGAAAGCTCATTTTACTGTTTCATCCAGATTAATGATCATTTATGAAGGAGGCGCTTTGTTTACATTTTAATTGAATTTAAATTAATTTGATTTAATTCACTTTATTTGTCCCTCAGGGGTTTTTGAAGGAACATAAACAAACCACATAATTCAACATAACAGTCAAACACAGATGTTAACAATAGAGCGCACAAGGTGCTGATTTTTGGGCTAATCTGGTTCCTCATCAGGTAAATCCTGAACAAATATCAGCTGCATCCCATCAATAAAGAAGAAGTTACAGGCCATTAACCGAAAAACACATTCCCCTCTGCCACCAGGTGGCGCTACAACATACAAACGTAAGTTTGGTGTTGAATTGTCCGGTACAGGACCTTGATCAAATGACTAAAATCTTGTGGAGATGGAACCAGTGTAAGGGAAGTTATATCTGAAACGCTGCGAGCACGAAAACTCTAGGGTGCGCTAGTGAGTCATTTATTTTCAAATCTATAGGGGCACGGCAAAATACGCACTTTTGACCCAGGCACGACCCGTCTGAGTTTTTGAGCCCGTCTAGAGGGGGAAGAAGTTCGTAAATTTTGTAATAATAATAATAATAATAATAACAGTAATAATAATGATAATTATAGTAAAAACAATGATAATTATCATAGTTAGAATAGTTGTAATAATAATAATAATAATAATAATAATAATAACAGTAATAATAATGATAATTATAGTAATAACAATGATAATTATCATAGTTAGAATAGTTGTAATAATAATAATGAAAAAGTCCTGACAGGGCTCTCGCCGGCTGCTTGCTGCTATAGGAAGGGCATCCAGAGGTCATGTGTTCATGGTTTTTCACCAGAGGGCGCCCCTTTTCATATTTATATTTATTTATCTATATATGAAAGAATAAGAATAAAAATAACTGTCTTGATCCTCGAGGGGAAATTAAATAAAGTTATTTTTATTCTTATCTGCAGTGTCATCTGAAACACTGGAGCAGCAGCAGGGGGGCCTCTCGCCCTTCCCTCCACCCCCCTCAGATACGCCTCTGAAGGCGGCCGTGGAAGACGTTAAAACTGTGGAGGAATCAAAGCGGATATGGCGGCGGTGGCGGCGGTGGCGGCGGCGGCTGCTGCTGTGGGTAATTGTTTGTGGTTGTTGACAAATTTGTGCGGAGAGTTGCAGAGGAGTGTTTGATAAAAGTGTCAGGATTATGTAAATGAGGGATTAAATAATCAATGGCTCAGTGAGAAACACGGATTTCTCCCTAACAAGTACAGTTGTGCTGCTCTTGTTTCCTCTGGTGAGAACTGGAGAGCCGTGTATTTTCTCTGAGTTAACATCTGAGCGAGCGAGCGTGTGTTTGCTCACTTTAATAAGTGTAGCAGGAAGTGTGTGTGTGTGTGTGTGTGTGTGTGAATGCTGCAGCTATTCCCCACCGAACTCAATGAAAGGCTAATCAGACAGTAGGAGCAAAGAAAGGAGGGATTGATTAAAAAAGAGACACTGGACGTGAGGCTGAATCCATCCCTCCTCCTCCTCCTCCTCTTCTCCTTCTCCTCCACCGCAGCAGCAGCAGCAGCAGGAGGAGGAGGCCCACTTCATCTTCATTTATGAGGAGAGCAGCCGCTGAATGTAAAGCATGTAAATATGTGTCCAAACGGCACAGGGGACGCCTCGCTTTAATCCCAGTGACATGAACCGTCGGAGCTGCTGTCGTTTAAACTCTACAGAGAAACAGAGAGGAGGTCTGAAACACGGAGACAGGAGGACAGGAGGACAGGGGGACAGGGGGGTCTGGTCTTCAGATGATCATGGTTTATTTATGGTGTCAGTCTCCTTTCATGGAGGGTGGTGTTGGATGGAGGAAGACTCCTCTCCGTTTCACAGACAGAGGAACTGAAGATGAAAACTAAAGATCTTTGTGAGTCTGAAGAACCTCCTCAAACTGAGAAGAACCGTTTACATTCACACTAGTTTACTAGTTTACCAGTTAGTGTTGTATAAAGTGAACAAACTTTATCTCCTCTTTCTACTGTATTTGCTGTGGAGTGACTGTAATGAAAAGCTGATCTGGGTACAGACTAAAACCTGGGGTCTCCTGTATCAACACTTGTGTGGATCTTAAACTAAAAAACGGCGATCGCAGGAATCACGAAAGTTAGCATTAGCATCCCAATCAGCGTGGAATTGAGCGTAGATGTCGGAGTGACCGGCCCCTCCCCCCCGTCACGCCCGCCTATAAATACGCAAATTTATTTAAAAAGGGTCTCCGCTGTCGGCGCTCGCACAACAATGTCCACCAAAGTGAAGTCAACTTTCAAAACAGCACAAGAATCGACGAACTTTTCGCGTTGATACGTCTGAACGTGACGATCTTTCTGACCCTCAGAGTCAAACGAAAACCCCGACAGTCCGGTTCTCATATTTGTACAAACTGCTGCTCTGCCTTCATGGAGATTTTTCTCTAATTCGACGTCAATAATCCCGTTTTTTCAGGACGTGTTGTTGCTCCACTTCTGAACCGTTTAAGAGTTAAACTTTTCCTTCGTTTGAGTTTTTAATCAGAGGATTTTCTCCTTTTTTATCATCATGAAGGTTTTTAAACTCCTCGTTTTTTGACTCTCCTCCTGGTTTTCAGAGCCGTCTTTGGTTACAAACATCTTCTGCCGTTTTCTGACATTTTAAAGATGAACATTAATTGATTATGAGAATAATAATTTTCTGCAGACAAAAAAATGATGAGAGAGAGAAAAAAAATCCTGCTGAGTCATGAATTATTCCCTTTCATTAAGCCGAGTCGACGCTCCTGAGCGTCCCTGACAGCAGATCTGAAGCACTCTCTGAAAACACTCCTCCTCCGACTTCAGCCGGACTAAAAACCTTCAGACTGAGTCCTGAGGGGACCCGGGTCTCCGCTGACCGAAGGCTACAGACTCCAGGATGTGCGATTCGCTCCACTTACGCTCAACAAGGAGGATGAGGGACGACGCAGACAAAGAGATGGTGTCCAATCTGAGCGCTCCATCATCCAGGGGCGCGGGGGAAAGTAACAGGCCCGGGTCAGAGTCCCGAGTCCTGGAGCAGAAAGAGAGGCTGAATGAAAAGAACCAAGAACGGCTCTCTTTATCCGGAGGAAACAGTCAGAGAGAGAGGCAGCTGATTGGTTTTCTTCTGGTGCTCTTAGTCGGCACGCAAACATGGAGACCTGCGGCGACCAGAACACGATGATCAGAAAAGGAGCGATTAACAAGTGTTTCCAACTCCTCAGTAAGGGAAGAAGCTATTGGCTGTTACTAAAAGTTGCTAAATGACGTCATCGTCTAATTAGCATATTTGGCTAAATTGTAATGGACGCTGGAAGAGAGAGGAACGACGTCGAGGGAGAGACAAAGTGTGAGTAAAAAAGTGAGTAAAAAACATCCCAAACATGTTCAGAACTACAAATGAACTTTCTTAATGTCACGTTACCAACCCTCCTCCTTTATCCGCCGGGCGCTGGACCACCGACAAAAATGATCCAATTCAGATTATTTGACGGAGTTACTGAGGATTTTATTTATTTGTCTTTTTAAAGTTTTTTAAGTTTTGTTTGTTTCAAACAACCAGCTGTGGTTTCTCAGACGGCGCCCCGGTGGTTCTGACAGGTTTCCTAACAGCATCTAAATCATCTTGATCTGTGATAATAATAACAATAATAACAATAATAACAATAATAATAATAATAACAATAATAACAATAATAATAATAATAACAATAATAACAATAATAACAATAATAATAATAATAACAATAATAACAATAATAATAATAACAATAATAACAATAATAATAATAATAATAATAACAATAACAATAATAACAATAATAATAATAATAACAATAATAATAATAATAACAATAATGATAACTTTATTGATATTATTTTTATATAGTTTAACATCTGAAGTGAACTCTGAGGAGGATCAGCGTTTGTCTCTGTTACTGAAGCGTTCACTTCGCTCTGAAAACGTTTCTAAGAGTCTTACTCAGAGCAAAGTGCTAGTCCAGGCAGGTCACAAAGTCAAGCTCGGACATCAGCTGATCCCAACCAGACGAATCCCTTCAACACATGACATAAATGACTGTTAACATGCCTGTTCCTCCTCCTCCTCCTCCTCCTCGTTCCTGTACTGAGGAGGTCTTTGCTGCTGCTCCTCCAGCCTCAGGAGTCTTCTGATTGGACGAGAGGCGATCACGTTGTTACGTTCACTAACATTACAGCGAACACAGTTTGTCTTCGTCACTGAAAGTTGGTTCCTCTGACTCTGAACAAAGAGAAAACTCATACCACCGTCCCGTCGTAATAATTACGATTTGTGTTAGCTTAGCAACAGTCCACTGTTAGCTTAGACGAGGAACTAGCTGCAGCCGCAGACGTCCCAGAAACAGACTGAAGTCCAGGACTTGAACTCTGAGTCTAAGTTAGACTTTGATTTACAAAGCGGTCTGATTATTTAGGATTTGTTTACCCGCGCTCTCAAACATGGAAACCAGCGTTTAGATGAATCAAAGCGAGTCGTAAATGAAGCGATAAAAGCTGCGGTCTTAGTCAGACACCTCCATAAAAGTGTTGTCAGAGTCCCATAAAACTGTCACAGACGAATAAACAACATTTATTATCCAGCGGGCTGTTCGGCCAAGTATCCGCACAGGTGGGTCTGAGACCGGAGGAGAACATCGAGGAGTCTGAAAACGTCAGAGACCTTCATCTGCAGGAACTGAAGGAGATTCTTCTGTTTCTCTGAGAGTTAAAGTCGTTTAAATAACCACCACGTCCAAAACTCTTGATTAGAAGGAACCAATTACTAAAACCAGAACCAGAACCAGAGCTGATTATTCAGAGTCCAAAACACACGGGCCTGTCAGTCAAACAGAACCGACCCAGTCCTCCGCTCTGTTCTTTCACTCCTGCTTTTAAAGTTCCTGTGAAATCTGGATTATATAAACGCCATAATCTCAGACAAACACTGAAACAGAAAAACTCTGTCTGTGTTTTTAACACGATTTTACACTTTAAAGTTCCTGGAAATAAAGACGCTGATGATGAGTCATCCTGCTGCGGTCGGCACTGAACCCCCAACAACCCAACACCCCGACCTATAATACTGCACATTCACCCCCCCATCCTGACACTGAAGATACACACACACACACACACACACACACACACACACACGCACACACACACACACACACACACACACACTCATGTAAATTTAGGATTTTACTTTAAACCATTTTTTTACAGGGGGCTGTCCTTTAAAATCATGTACTGAGAGAGGGGGAGAGAGAGAGAGAGAGAGAGAGAGAGAGAGAGAGACAGAGAGAGAGAGAGAGAGAGAGAGAGAGAGAGAGAGAGAGAGAGAGAGAGAGAGAGAGGGAGAGGGAGAGGGAGAGAGAGAGAGAGAGAGAGAGGGAGAGAGCAGAGAAAAAGACAGCCTAACAAACAGAGGGATAATCAGCGTGACCTCGGATTAGTCCAAAAGCAGGATTCACTCGTTGACTTGTTGACTGCTGTTTTTGTCGTTGGTTCAGACAAATAAGATTTTTAATATCTTTAAATATTAAAAAAACAAACTTCATGGTTTTTTTTTTTAATCTAAATGAAAGTGATTTTAACGTTAAATAAAGAATCTGTGACGTTGACACTGAAAGAGTTACTGAGACGAACGGGCGGAGACGAACAAGTGAAAGGTTTTTAGATGTCATTTCACCCCGATGACACCATGGATGAGGAGATGCTGATTCTAGAAGTCTAGAAGTAGATTTCCTCCTCTGGAAGGACACAATCTACTGCTTATATGTCTATATGTCTGTCTTTAGAGAGACAACTCGTAATCGTGTGATTGAACGTGAATCTGCGGGTTCTTGTGTGTCTGTAATCGGCCACAAAAATCGCCTCACCAACAGATCCAGTAGGAATCGTCGGACGGTGGAAATTGCCGCCATTCAGGATGTGGTGAAAATTGAGGGTGAGGGTTCACGTGTTCTGAGTTGTAATCTTCTCTCATGATTGAATTTCCTCTGAGCGCCCGTCCGACCCGACACGTGATTGAAGACGACGAGGACTCGGTGTCATCGTCCGGTCCATTATGAAGCCGACGGGCCGGACTCCCATGAAAAGCAGAGTTAATTGCTTCCTCATCAGAATCTGGACAGCTGTATTCAGCGCTGACACATCCGAGCGCTTCTGCTGCTTCGTCTCCGTCAAGAGAGACAAATATTTACTGATGCAGACGCTCGCCGCAGTCGCACACGCCGGCGTGGAGGAGGATAAACAAAAAGATCAAGTGTGAGCAGAGCGAGCCCGGAGATGTCAGGAGCTGCTTTCACACACAAGATGAATGATCAGTGGTTAAGTGGGACATGGCGTGCTTTCTCTCTGAATGACAGACCAGCACGGGGGGGGGGGGGGGGACCTTCGCCGTCTCTAATAAACGGCAGAACAGTCTCTGTTTTTGTTTTTTTAAGGTTTGATTCTGTACGAGTTTATCAACGAGGTGTCAGAGAGGATGAAAATAACATCAAATCATCTGCAAACAAGCTGCCAGAGAGCGTCAGGAGGGAGAGGGCGGAGCATCAGAGGGGGCACGGAGCGCCACCGCCACCGCAGAGCCAAACAGGAAGAGGAAATCACAGACGCCACCTAATAACTTTTAAAAATGGAGCTGTACAGAAAAAAGCCTATATGAAAAAAACAAACAAAAAGCCTTATGACCTATACTGCAGCCTGTCACCAGAGGGCGCTGTTCTCAGAGAGAGGAGGCAGACGGCGTCTATTCTAGATACAGTCTATGATCAAAACCAGAGGAAACTGAAAAGACCCTCCGATCAGGATCTGAAGGTCCTGTTTCTTCCCCTTTCATCAGGACCGTCTGGGGGTGGGGACCATAAAAACTTAAAGCCGCCTCACACGCGTTCTTGTGCAACACTACAGGAAGTCCTCAGAAACCCGCGCAGGAAGAGGAAGATCTGAGAGAGCGAGCGGGGGCACGAGGTGACAGCAGACTGTCAGCGATATAAGAGGGCGCTGAATTATGGAGGACCTCAAAACCAGTCCTCAAAGATGAGGCTGATGAAGTCAAGGAAGTGTGTGTGTGTGTGTGTGTGTGTAAACCAGAGTGTGTCTGTTACCTGCTACAACGTTCAGAGTAAACAAAAGAGGAGCTTCATGAGGAGAAGAAACCAGAGACAGACTGAGGAGCAGCGAGGAGAACCACATGAGAAAACTGTTCCTACCTCATCGAGAAGATCTTCATGTCTCCATGTTCAGAAAATACATTTATAAGAAGTTAAAATAAACTAAAGTCCATATTTGAGTCGACGCAGCAGGAAACTCTGAAACAGTTCAGGTTTCAAAGTTTCATAAATTTATTCGTTAACCTTCGTTAGTTTGAAGAAGTGCTGAGGGTCAATATATCAATATAAACATGATCAATATGCTTTTCAATAGTCGTCATTCTGACATGTTTCGGTCGACTATAAGAACAGCCAATGAAAAGGGGAGTGTCTCCGGGTCTGAACCAATCATGTTCTGAATTAGAACCAAGTATCAACCAACTGCAGCGTGGTAGCAGACAGCAGCTCCACCCAACCATAGCACTTTAACAGGTGAAGCCGACAGCACTGTTGGTGAGAAACAAAGAAAATGAGTGCTACCCCCGACAGAAATGACCATGAAGGCTCAACAGATGACCACATCAATGTCAACCACAACACTGGCGTTAGGAAAACGTCGGTGGTGTGGAGGTATTTTGGTTTTTGGAGGTCGGACATGAAGCAGAGTAATGTGGACTGTAAATTATGTCGAGTCATTAACAACTTTTTCCCGTATCTCTGGGCCCTAGGTTGAGGTTTTCTGAACTCTCTTATATCTTCAGACTGTGAGTCCAAAACACCGTTAGATATTAAAGCACCATGGTGACGCTAAACCACAAAGAAGACCTACTGAAGGAAAACCTGAACCAGTAGACCCCCCCTCATCATCAGGGCACAGGTGTGATTCACCTGGACGAGGGATCGACGTCTTTGTTTCCTAAAATCTCATGAATACAGACGGATCAGAGTCTGAAAATCTCCAGAAAACTTCAGCTCTGACCGACTCGGTGATAAAAAGAGCAGAACTTTAATGATGGACTCCAGGATGTGGACTTAGAGGAGCCCTCTGAAGGTCCTCACATCAGAGCAGAGCTCACACCTTAAACACGAGTCCAAACACAGACGCTTCAAACGGCGCTGAGCTTCAGAGTCACAGCGGGGAGTTCGGTCCGTTTGAGAAGAGAAACCAGAACCTTCAGTCAGCTGAGAGAGAACCATCAGAGATGATCGAAGAAGAAGAAGATCAGAGACTCTTCAGTTCTTCATCCTCTCACAGACCAACATGAAGACTCTTTCAGGAAGTCTGAGAACATCATTAACAGACGACGGTCCTTAAATACAGATCTGCAGAGAGACGATCAGCCAACATGGACGCCAACCACAGACAAGAGCAGAATGACCCGTGTTCCCATGAGTCCCCGTGGGCTGACCTGCAGCCGGAGCTTCCTCAACGCCAATCTGACCCCTAATTTCCACCGCATCCAGAACAGCTCTGATCCGATTTTCACCGTCCGCCAATTTCTACCGGATCATTTTTGAGGCAAATTTCGTGGCGGATTACAGACAGCAGGAATCATGAGAACTCACAAGAACCCGCAGATTCACGTTCAATCTCACGATAACGAGTTGTCTCTCTAAAGACAGACACATAGACATATAAGCAGTAGATTGTGTCCTTCCAGAGGAGGAAATCTACTTCTAGACTTCTAGAATCAGCATCTCCTCATCCATGGTGTCATCGGGGTGAAATGACGTCTAAAAACCTTTCACTTGTTCGTCTCCGCCCGTTTTGAAAGAAGTCGGTGTAAATCGACACGTTAACTTGAATGGTTACGATCAGCTACGATCGGAGGATACGACCTTTTAGGAGACGATCAGGATGAAGGTCGGCGGTCACCCTCCCACAGACGGCGTCCTCGACTCTGTTTGACCTGAAGAAAAATAAGCACCAACATTTGATTCCTGCTTTAAACTCGGAGGACGGACCCGGGGGGGGGGACACATGTTGATGGTTCTGAATCCTGCGGCCTGATCCTGGAGCTCCGCCCCCTCCTCTTATGTAACCCTGAACTCTGTGAAGTCCTGATGACAGGAAATCTGACTGAAGCTGACAACATGAGCGCCTGTGTTCGAGCTGCCGAAGATCATAAAACAGCAAATACGGGACACCTGCTGTGTGACGAGCAGCTGAGCGCCGCCGGGGGGGGGGGGGGAGGGGTCTTTTCATGTGCAGTAAAAACGTCTGTCAACAGAAGCAGCAGCAGCTCCAGGAAAAAAGACACAAACAATCAGAAAGAGGTCTGCTTTCATACGCCGAGGAGAGATTAAACCACGACGACCACGAGTCAAGCTGTGGAGGGCGAGGAGCAGCGTCACATGACCACGGCGTTTCATCAACGCCAGCATCTTTCAACAAGGGGGAGGACAGAAAGGTCGTTTTTTTACACGGTTAAGAAAAGGTCAACATGTCCGTGTTTCAGACTCTGAGAGGAGCTGGTCTGGGTTTAAAGATCCGGTCCTGCACCAAGGGGGGGCAGAGGAGAGGTGGGCGATAGATGTGGTCTATATCAGCGGTTCTCAACTGGTGGGTCCCGACCCAGAAGTGGGTCACAGACACGTTCTGGATGGTCGCAAACAGCTGGTCAAAAAAGTAAATATTTGATACTCATCTGATGTTTGACATGTGTTTTATTTTGAAAAATATCTTATTTTGAAAGGCCCGGGTTATGTCATCAGTTTCTTATTAATATGTCCTGAATGAAGTAAAAATACAGGTTTTTTATTTTTGTCTTTATTTTGTTTATTTGATATTTTCTGTTAAAGTGACTTCAGTTGTTAAAAAGTGCTTCTGGGCAGTGTATATCAGGTCCAACTATCAATATCCTTATTGATCCCAATAGTTATTGATTTTCAGTTATTGGTCAAACCCCTAAAGAGTTAACTGCATTTATACCGATTAAAAAAACAAAATGGATGATGGGAAATTTCTGATGTTTTCAGTCACCGTCCTCTAACTTCAATGTTTTTAACATCTTTGTTTACATGAAACTGTTTCAGGACCGACTTTGAAATGTGGTAAAAAATCAATCAATACACGATATCCTGATTGATTAATATTCACCTGTAACACTCACAGCTTCTCTTGTTTTAAATCTGCATGTAGACGAACGATGGAGGATCAGACCGATCACAATCCTCCACCTGAGATCGGATCACCAACATGTCAGTACTTTAAATCAGAGCGAATCGGCGAGTTCCTGTTTGATGGCGTGTTATTGACCCCGTCAGACGCCACACGCTCCGATCGTCTCCGCTCTTCCTTCACTTTGAGAAAATCTGTCGTCTCGGTAAAGTGTCAGACTTGGGAAAACTCGCTCTGCTCACACCTGAGAGAATGAACGCCGCTGAACTCGTGGAGGAACGGAGAGTTCTCGTCAAACTTCCACAGGAAACAGATAACCTTCATCGACATTCGCTCACTTCCTCTCAAACACACACGCCGTCCGCCATGTTTGATGTGACAGGACGATCAAACGTGAAACTGACCACAGACTCTGACATCTGAAACATCTGTCTGTGCGGCGGATCAGGCCGTAGAAAATAATGAATAGATGTCGAGTTTATCAAAGCAGACATCCTCCTTGAACTTTAATCACGCCGCTCATATTTCCCAGCATCCCACGCGTGGAGCTGCAACAAGCGAAGGGTTAATTAAATCACTTTAGGTCTTTTTTTTTCCATCAAAGTCCTGCAGCAGGAAATACGTTTGTGAACAAAGGAGGAGAGGCTGCGGCGCACGTCTGAGACGAGCCCTGAATGAAATCATAAAGCCAATTTTATCCGGAGAATAAAGCCCATTATCAGAGAGGACAAATACGCCGCAGAGGGCTTTACCGCCGCCGCCACCGCAAAGAGCCGCCACCACAATACGAGCACACAAAGAGCCGCCAGCCTTCGAATGTTGTCAGAGACGGAAAAAAGGACGGCGAGTAGGCATCAGATTAAAACGGCGAGAAGAAGAGCGAGAAGCTTTTCTGTCTCTGCAGCGAAAACAGACGGAAAACACAGAATCAGACCCGGTTTCATGGTTCTGCTGAAGTCCAACAGTGAGGAGGTTTTTGTTTCTGAGGTTTGAGAGGAGGTTCAGGACGAGGAGATGAAGGTCCAGGATGAACCTTCACCGAGGTCCAGATCAGGACCGAGTCCCAGTCTGGTCCGTCTTTGTCTCAGAACATCAGTCCTAAATAAACGGGTCAGTCAGTCAGTCAGTCAGTCAGTCAGTCAGTCAGTCTCCTCACGTATGTTTTACAGAAATATCAGAGTAACTTTCAAACTAACTTAAAGATGTTAAAATCTATAAATCTAAAAAACAACATCTGAGCTCCTGATGAACCACAGACTGAACCAGGTCTGATCCAGAACAAGTCCAAAAACTGATCAGGGTTCTGGACTGAATCACTGAACTCCAGGTGGGGCAGGAGTACGGAGTCAGATTAGGGTCAAAATTCATCAAACTCAACTTCTTCAAAATCAAACAAGAAAATAAGAAATTAAGAGAAAAAAAAAAAAAATCACTGAAGCAAAAAAAAGTCAAACTTGTAACTTAAAAACTAATTATTTGTGTAATTATGTGTTTAATAAAAGTAAGAATGAGATTCAGACACAGAGGAGAAGCTGTCAGAACCAGAACCAGAACCAGAACCTCCGTTTTCAGGGTCTCTGTGAACATTCGGCTGAAAAAGAAACCTCTCTTTCTCTAAAATAATCAGACTGAAACTGAACCTCAAGAGGATCAGAGGTCAAAGGTCAGGGCTGCTGCGCCTGAATATTTGTCCTGCAGCTTAAGTGCAATCATCCCGCGGGTCGGGCCGAGCCGGGCCGGGCCGAGCGGAGCGTGGAGAAATCCTGAGATTATATGAGCGAGGAGGAGAAAATGACAGGATGGACTTTTCTTCTCTTCGAGGGATTTTAAGAGAAAACGGAGGAGCAGGAGAAGATGAGGCAGAGAGGAGACCAGTGGACAGGAGGTGGACCTACAACCGGGTCAGAACCAGCACAAAGAAGAAGAACACGACCCAGAACGGAGGAGGTGGACCATGGCCCGGAGCTACGAGGAGGACTGAGGAGATCTTTGAAGATCTGAGGTCCTGAGTGTGAGAAGACTGGAGAAACACAGAAGAAGGAGGAGAAGAAGTGGGAGGGAGAGGGAGACGACTGAGGGTGAGGAGGACTGAGGGTGAGGAGGACTGAGGGGGAGGAGGACCGAGGGGGAGGAGGGGAGCTGGACCGAGGAGGAGAAAAACACAGAGCGGGCATTAAAAACTAAAGGAAGGAAGGAAGGAAGGAAGGAGGATAGGAAGGAAGAAAGGGGGAAAAAGGAAGGAAGGAAAGGAAAGGAAAGGAAAGGAAAAGAAGAAAGAAAGAAAGAAAGAGGGAGAGGGCCGTTCTCCTCAAACAGACTGAAGGTCTTCACGTTGGTAAAAGTCGACTAACTTCATAATAAACATTAAAACTAACAGAGTTTATTTTAACAAAGTCTGGATCTGATTCAGGTCTGAGGAAACACTTCAGCCTGTTTCAACCTCCTCTGAGGATTCTAGTTTTACAGACATGTTTTTCCTTTGTCTCTGTAAATCTACATTTATGCCTCTGACTGTCCTCTCCTCTGTCCTCACGATTGGACCGTCCCTCGTCTCTCCACCTGCAGACTCCTGATTTTTCATCGTAGTTTGTGATAAAGTCAGACCTTCAGCTGCTGTCAGTCTCCTTCCTGTCAGACTCCTGATGGTATTAAACCACATAAACTCTTTATCTAAACTCTCTCTCAGTCTTCACTCTGATGTTCAAACATGTTTGTTGTAATAAACCCTAAAATCAGCCCCTCTGTCCCCCAGAGCTGTAAAACATCATTATGGAGTCGATCTCAGGTTTCTGCTCCTTCAGTTAAAGGCGGGCGGACTGACGCTGTGTCGTCAAAAATTTACTTAAAAACTCCGAACTCGCCCGACTCTGCGGCGGTTTCCTCCTGCAGCAGCATTTCCCTTCTCCTCCATGTGGAACAAAACTCCTCTGGGGTGGAAAATTGAAATTTTAACAGCAGCAAATCACTGTCTCCGCCTTCCTCCCCTCATCTGCAGTAAGACAGTAAACTGACAGAGCAGCGTGCGTGCGTGCGGGCGGGCGTGCGGCGCTGAAAAAACAACAAATGGGCAGATCTGATGATTACGGGACGGCGTGGAGAAATTTAAAGCATCAGACGAGTCCTGAAACGGATCCTGAGCCGCTGTAGGAGTCTGTGGGTCTGAATACCTGAACGACTTCTTTAACCTGACGAATATGAGTGTGACCCCGCCCCCACACACAGTCATGGGGTCGACATCAGGGCGAGACACGGCGAATAACTCCCCCCCCCCCCGGTTTATTTGAGCAGAGGTAGTTTGTGTGTGAAGACAGCAGAGTCACAGATATGAGTGCGTACAGATGGACGGATCTGCAGCCGGGGCTTATGGGACAGATGGTTCCTGTGATGTCAGAGCGAGGGGGGGCGGCGGCGGCGGCGGAACATCCCAAACCGTGCAGAACCGTTAAAATCGCATGTGAGTCCATTTCTATTTCTGAATGTGTGTCAATGATTTTACTGACGAAAGTGTGTGTGTGTGTGTGTGTGTGTGTGTGTGTGTGTGTGTGTGTGTGTGTGTGAGTGTGTGGTGGGGGGGATTACAGGGGGGTTATGGCCTAATGCCTTTAATGGACCCCCCCCCCCCTTCATCCAAACCGCGGACTGTTCCTTTAAATATGAGCCTGGTCGTTCTCCACAGGTGAGCAGAGGTTACCTGTATAAGAACATCTGTCAGCAGAAACATCACCTGAGATCAGATCATGTGACGGACAGACGGACAGGCGGAAAATCTGCCTCAGAGTTCAGCCTGTAAATGTTTCTGTCCTTTTAAACTCTGAATCCTCGTCAAACACAAAGAGAACAGATGGACGAGTTTAGACCAATCAGAGACTGTTCAGGAATCCTGGAGCAGGAGAGGACAGACGGACGACACCACTGTAGGACAACATGACTGTAGGACAACTCTAATGTAGGACAACTCCACTGTAGGACAACTTCACTGTAGGACAGTATCACTGAAGGACAACATCACCGTAGGACAACATCACTGTAGGACAACATTACTGTAGGACAGTATCACTGTAGGACAGTATCACTGAAGGACAACATCACCGTAGGACAACATTAATGTAAGACAACATCACTGTAGGACAACATTACTGTAGGACAACATCACTGTAGGACAGAATCACTGTAGGACAGTTTCACTGTAGGACAGTATCACTGAAGGACAACATCACCGTAGGACAACATCACTGTAAGACAACATCACTGTAGGACAGAATCACTGTAGGACAGTTTCACTGTAGGACAACTCTAATGTAGGACAACATTACTGTAGGACAGTATCACTGTAGGACAGTATCACTGAAGGACAACATCACCGTAGGACAACATTAATGTAAGACAACATCACTGTAGGACAGTATCACTGTAGGACAGTTTCACTGTTGGACAACACCACTGTAGGACAACATCACCGTAGGACAACATTAATGTAAGACAACATCACTGTAGGACAGTATCACTGTAGGACAGTTTCACTGTTGGACAACACCACTGTAGGACAACATTACTGTAGGACAACATTACTGTAGGACAGAATCACTGTAGGACAGTC